AAATTCAGTTAAATATGTCTAGACAATTTTTCTTCTTGTCTATATTTTCTTTAATTTAATTTTTAAATTCGCAGAAGTGTGAAAAAAGTTGTCAATTCAATATAAACTCGTTGAGAGTTAATTTTGTTAAAATTAAGCATCATTAGGAGTGTATTAAAATAATTTGCATTTAAAACGTATTTAGGAAAAAAAAGAAACTTTACATTAATCTCATTACCGTAAGATTTTATTTTGTAGAAGAAAATAAATAAAAAAAAAAAGAATTCCATGCAAAACATAAATTATTTCAACATCAGTAATGAGTGGATTTTTATTTTCTCACCGCAAAAGAGAATCTTGACACGAGACACGCTTTTAAACTCAGAATGTCTCGCCAGGATGTTTCAGAAGACCGGAAAATCCGCATGGGCAAATATATGAGTATCCTGCGCACGTGGAGGACAATGGTGAATATAAAGGGTTTCGGCTTTTGTTCTAGCAATGCAAGCGTAGAAGAGGATTTTCTTTTTTTGCCTCACAATTTTTTTTTTCGTCAAAGAAAAATTGCAGTTAAAACCAAAGGAACTGAAGAACAGAATTTTCAATTATTAAAGCAACACACAAAATACCATAGGAAAGATTTGTTTTTCTGTGTGTTTATCATTCGTTTTTCTTTCTTTGCATTTTTTTTTTTTTGCAAGAAGGATTTATTTCATTTGGTTGAAACGCGCGCGTTGCTTTTACAACAATTTCTCAAGATAAAATTCAACTGATGTTATTTGATAACTTCCACACCTCGGCAAGTGCGCCTATTATGCGTTTTCTTGCTTGGTATTCATTGTGAACTGACTTTTTTTCATTGTTTTTTTTTCTTTTTTTTTTTGCAGAATAATTCGAGTGGCAAAAGGCTCTCGCTATATGCTCAATTCAACGCTGGGGAAACAAAGAACGTATAGATATTGTTTGCTCGCGAATTATAAACTGTTTATCTTCATCGTAACTCCCAATGGATGATCTCTATATATATATGTATGCATTTATAAAAAGAAAAAGTAAGTGAAGATTAATGGAGAAATCTCGAACTAGTTTCTCGTTTCGAGAATGAATTACTTGAGTGTAATTTAACGATCACTAGAATTTTTTAATTTAAAGCCACGCCCACATTATCTCTTTATGGTTAACGCCCTTTTCTATACCAACACCTATAATTTCTAAGTCACGCCTCCATTACATAGACTCCTCCCACTTTAAACGCCAATCTTTCTTAACTTCTTCTTTCATATCCACGCCCCCATTACATATACTCCTCCTACTTGAAACGCCCACCTTTCTTAACTCATTTAATATCCACGCCCCCATTACATAGACTGCGCCCACTTGTAACGCCCACCTTCTTTAACTTCTCCTTTTGTAACCACGCCCCAATAATATAGACTCCTCCCACTATTTATTAGCCACGCCTCCATTACAACAACCCCTCCTACTTATAAACTCCTACCTTTTAAGGTCACGCCTACATAATGTTTTGTTAACTTCCCTTTTTAAACTCCACCTCTAGTATCCTTATTTTATTTTTAGCCACGCCTTCATTATATTGGCCACTCCTACTTCCAAGTCCGTACCATTTGTAACCCGTCCCACTTATAAGCCACGCCTCTTTTGTCTCCAACCACTTCTGACAGCCCTTTACATTTTTACGTCACGCCTACTTTTCATCGGCTCCTCCCCCTTTCATTACCACGCCTCCATTACAGTAGCCCCTCCTACCATTAATTTACAGTATTTAACTCCTTCTTTATTTAGCCACGCCCTTCCAAGAGGAGGTGTTTTCCTCTAGGTTAACGCCTACTGTAAGCTCCACGTTTAACAGGTATTTTTATTTCTAAGCCACGCCTACTTTATACCACCCCACCTTTAGACAACGCCCTCAGACAAAATTTTGAAAAGTTATTAAAAATTTAAGGTAAATTCTTATAATTTTTTTTTAAACATTATGTAAACGAAATCATGAGAATTAATACAACAATTTCCATTTATTCGTCAGTAATTAATAATTAAAATCTATGACAACATGGCTATGCATATATATATCATAAATATATTCTACTCTTTAAGTATCACGAGCCTATAATCATTCATGTATGTCGTCAAAGTTCAACGAACATTTCTATATAGCTATTATGCTTTTGTTACGAGAGAAGCTTCAAAACCCAACGTGGTTCATTAAATGACTCCCGAGTATAAAACAGCAGAAGCGTTTGTGTCCCTACCGATAATGCATTTAGATTATGCTACTGCATAAGGTTGGCATGTTTACGTGAATTGGAACACGGGTTGAAAATAGAATAGCAAAAGGGGGCAGAAACATTGTGTGTGTGTGTGTGTGTATGAGAAGAGAATTCAGGATGCACGATGAGGTACATACAACGGTACTGAGTACAGAGTAAAGCATCGATTTACATTTATGACTATACCTTTAGACGAAAACCCCTTACTATCAGTATGCTAATTTTCAAAAGTCATGAAATTTCATATTTCCCACACTTTTGTCAATGAATTGTGCTCTTTATAAAAATTTACGAACATTTAAATTTTTTTTGCTATCAAAAGAATGGTTTGTGTAATTTAATATTTAATATATTCTACTTATATTCAGTTGAGTGAATTTATATACTAGAGTGTTGGAAGTTGTAAATTTTTACTAGATTGACGAGATGTTCTCTCCAATTTCTTTTGAGTAGATTTTTTAGTATAGTGATTTAATCGAGAGAGGGAAAGAATTGGTGAAGGATTTTCATTGGCGGATGTGCTGGTGTCGTCTAGACCTATAAATATCGGGACAGTATGACGTAATCATCAGTTGGTGTTCGAGATACTCACATTGGAAGAAAAATAAAAGTATTTTATAAAAGTGTTTGGAAAAATTAATTTTAGCAGTAGAATAATTTAAAAAAAAAAGTTCCTTATAAAAGTATTTGGAAATTTTAATAACGTAAAAGAAGGAAAATAAAAATTATTTCGTTGCTAATGTTTTGTTTAAGGATTACACGGATTACTTCATCTCACGGTTATTCTCTTCTCTGAACATTGATGATGCTCGAGTGACACAAGGTCATTAAACGGATGTAGGTACGTGCACGTCGTAGGTGACATGAAACACGAGCAACTGTGTATCATAGCACCGCACGCGTTTATTATACACGTCAGTTGTACAATCGCATATAATGTCAAGACACATTTTGGTTACTGATTGTAACGTCGCGCATTCCAACATAAGCTCGAGTTTAACATCCACTTGTGTAACATCCGCTTTTGGAGCCACTTTCATTTTCCCATTAAGAGAAGTGACTGATCCCCATATACACAGAGACAGTGTAACGAGAAAATTTATTCTCTCATTTCACAAAACAATTAATTTAGAAATTCTAAATTATTTATTTTTTTTTTTAAATAAATATATTTTAAATCTAATAATAAAACTTTTTAGAAATTGTGAGTTATTGCGGTGACAATTTTCTGGTATAAGGAAAATTGAAAATTCAATTTCTATATTTATATACAAATTTCATGCGCCGAATGAAAGTTTGCCTTTCAAGTTAATTCAAAATTCCCTCGTGCTTTGCAAGTACAATGCTATTTTGCGCGCGAGAGGGTCTAGTACAAGCTCTTCTCCATTAAAGCCGTACCTCTTCTTAATTACTGAAGCAAAGGGGGCAAGTAGTTTCGAGGTTTGTTTGTTAGTACAAAAATTTTTAACTCAAATTGCCAGCGAGATTGCTGGTGCTGTAAACAGAAATGGCAAGTGCAGTTTGTTTAACCAATTGCGATTCATCATTCCAAGCCCGAGTTTGACTGTTATTTGGCTGAGCATGTTGATTTAGCCGAATCTCGCCACGTGCGTTCATCTACAATCTGTCTATATATATACATATATATATATGGTTATGTGTAAATATAGAAACCACTTCACTAAATTATAAAATCACAGAAAATTATCATTGAAAAAATATAATTCAAAAACTTTTTTCCTCAAAATTAATAATTAATTTTACTGATAATTACTTGAAATATTACTTCTAATAATTTTTTTTGTGCAGATAATTTCTTTTCTTTCTTTTTTTTTTACTATCGTTTTAAGTAAAGAAAGTTAGACGTGAGAAAAACCTGCAGGTTCAGGTTATTGTTTTAAAGAGAACTTACTGCCCATAAAATTTTATGCACAGTCATTTCAGCTTTATTTTAAGACTTTGAGCCATTGGAAATTACATGAAAAGGGTCGTGTAGGCTTAAAAACACAAGTAGCGTCCTACAGGGAATTAGATCAGTGACTTTCCGAGTTTTTTTTTTAAACTGGTGATAAATTGCCCACTGAGTTTATTTTGTATTTTATTGTTGAACTGATGGTTCGCTATAAAATGGGTTAATTTATTTTCTCAATTAACCTACTCGCAAAGTATTCGCAAATTACTTTCTCTAATGATTTCTCCCTCTTAAATTACAATCGTTTTATAAAAGACACGCCTCTATTGATTTCTTCCACATGTAAATAATATGTTTTTTATTTTCTTTCATTACTGAGACACGCCTCCTTTAAGCTTCTTCTATTTTTAAACCACGCCTCTTTTGTCCCCTCCCACTTATAAACCAAACCTTCTACCTCATTTTTGGGACACACCTCTTTTGGCCCCTCCCACATGTAAACAACGCCTTTTACCTCATTTTTAGACACTCCTCCCTTTGGCCCCTCCCATTTGTAAACCACGCCTTTTATAGCATTTTTGGGACAGAACACTTTTGGCCCCTCCCACTTATAAACCCCACCCTTTTTGACCCACCTATATTATTTCTTTTAAAGTAAATTCTTTTAATGTTCTTATTTCTAAGCCACGCCCCTTTTTGTCCCTCCCACTTGCAAGGCACACGTTCTAAAACTTTTTGTCGTTGTATTTAAATATAAAAATATAATTAAAAAAAATTAATGCTTAATAATTTTTTAATAAAAAAATTTTTTCTGTTTACAGTTCCTACATCGCATATTGTTGCTCTGGCTGGAGATACCACTTATCTACCCTGCGACATATCAACAAATCACGAAGGGGATGCTGTACATCTTGTACTGTGGTATCGTGAAGATCTTGGAACATCGGTGTCAATATACAGGTGAGAATTTAATATATGTAAATTATATTATCTCTAACTTTAAGAAAGTTAGAAAAAAATCTTAAGAGGACAGTAAGCTAAAAAATAATCGTGACTTTAAAAAAAGATGCTTCCTGAATCATCAATCTTACTTGGGAGAAAAACTTTATTTCCCTAAGCTGACAGCTTTGCAATTTACGGTAAAAGATTCTTTGCAAGGTATTTTTTTTTTGGAAGGGCATAAGATTGGTGGGGATGGTTGAGGGAGGGAGCAAGGGGGTTGAGGAACGCGAGCAAAATTACAGACGCTGAAAATGGGTGAATCTTGTGAATAGTTGACTGGGATAAAAGATATCTGCTGACTGGAACGTAAACGTGAACTTTCCCCGTATTCATCACGTATTCGAGAAACTTCTAATCCTGTTCCTGGAGCGAACTCCCGGTACTGTGAAAATCAACTAGGATATATATATATATATAGAGGGAGAGAGAGAAAGAGAGAGAGAGTGGAGGAAAAAACCGAGACAAACTCTCAGGATGTAAGCAGAAGAAAGTCTTCAAACTGAAAGCTTTTGGTATGCTATACATACCAGGAGAGTCCTTTCGATATACTAGAAAATTAAAAAAGTACACCAGCTAGCAGCAACTGATTGAATTCAACGATCTTCGTTCTTTGCTTGTTTTCTATATATATATTTTGTGATTTTAAAACGGATGTTTACAGAATCAGAATTTTTTCCCATCTACTATAGAATATCTAGAAAAAAAAATATTTGAAAGTTAAATTAAATAATTTAAAATTACGTAAATTTGTTGAATTAAAATCGTGAATGTGGAGTATATATTTAATAAGTGGGACTATTAGCACTCTTTAGAAATATGAATTAATCTAAAAAGCGTATAAAATGTCAGAATAAGTGAAACATATATATATATAAAGAGCCAGTCACACTTGCATTCAATGAAGTTAAATTTGTTCTCAAGTTTAAATTATAAATTAAATCTGTTTCTCTAAACTGTCACGTTGTTTTCAGTTTAACCTTTTAAAACTTTTCCCCACATTCCTTTATATATACATATCATACATATATGTATATATATATATATTCCTAATAAAGTTTTAATCACAACTTCATATTACCCGTCAGGTATAAGTGAGACAATTTTAAATTTTCTGTGTCTATGGTACTAATTAATGGATTATTAAATTTTTAATTTAAAAAAAAGTTATAATACTGTTTCACTATTTAAAAGTTGAAATTATTTTTAATAAATAATATTGTCTAGAATGAAATAAAACATTTTTTAAAATTTAAAGTTAATTTAAATTTTAATTCAAAAGTTTAAAAAAAATCAACTATATATAAAATTACTTTTTTAACTGTTTATTAAATGTCCATATTCTCGTTGCCATCCTCCTTTTATTTCTATTTCCTAGAAACGACTCTTTTAAGCTCCTCCTATTAACAAGCCACGCCTCCATTACAGAAGCCCCTGCCACTTTCTTTCCTTTTCTAAGATCCACCTCTAGTAGCTTTATTTTCTTATGAGCCACGCCTCTACTACATTGGCCCCTCCTACGTTTAAGCCCGACCCATTTCTAACTCCTCCTATTTATAAGTCAAATCTACTTCAGTCTCGAAGCTCCACTTCTAACAGGTCTTTACATTTATAAGTTACGCCTACTTTACATCGGCTCCTCCCACTTGTAAGCTCCGCCTTTTTAACTCTACCCTTTTGAGGCCACGCCAACATAACATTTTGTTGACCTTGCTCCTCTTTTTAAGCTCCACCTCTAGCAACTTTATTTTTTGTTGAGCCACGCCTCCATTGCATTGGCCCCTTCCACTTATAACTCGCCCATTTTCAGGCCACTCCCTATTTTTAGTTTTTGCCTTATTTCTAAGCCACGCCTCCAGTTTATTCCCACTTTTAACTCCTCCCCTTTGTAGCCACGCCTCCATAGGCCCCTCCCTTTTATACATAATATTTGCACATTTTCGTCAAATGTAAATTAATTTTTTATTACTCCGAGTTGATAAAAAAAAGAAATTAATTCATTGATTTAAATTTAATGAAATTAAACAAATTATTCTTCATCCAATATATTGAGTTTCACCATTTGTCGTTGAAATCACTTTAGATTACTTGAAAATGGACGCGAGAGTGTATATATATGTGTGAGAAAGAGATATAGTATAAGAGTTGCCCTCGGCGGAAGTTTTTTAAAGCGAGTGATGGATCCTCGCGAATTTCTCAAGAAAATAAAAGTTGTAATCTTGATGGGTCAAGTGGAAGGAGCCGTAAGTGGTGAGAGGAATGGTGGGGTATAAAGAGTGAAGAGTTTAGAAAAGAAGAGGAGTCGAGTTGGTGGAAAAGATTGTTGGAGGTAACGGATTGCAATGCTCTAGGGAATCTAGTGACTCACAAGAAAGAAACTATAGGTCGCCCGTCTGTCCACTAAGAGTTGTACCCCTCTCTCTCTCTCTCACTCACTCCCACTCTTTTCCTTACCAGTTTTCCGACTAGTTCTCTGCACTTAGTTGAACGCCTGCGGGCAACAACTTGCACTTGAGTGTTCCCGAGTCTCGAAGGATATTTTCTTGTGTCGAAATACACCTGCAAAGTGGTAAGTAACTGTTCAGCTTTTGCAAGTGACGCTACTTTTACTATATATATAGATAGATAGATACAAGGGACTAATTCCAAATAGCTATTGCAACGACTTTTGTTCTCTCAACATATGTTTGCGATACAAACAATATTTACGACAGTTGTACAAATATATATATATATATATAGTTGTTTTAACTGTGATGAAAAAAAGGCCCGACATGAAAGTACAAAAAACGAAGAAGGAAAAAAGAAGATGAACTACTTTCGGAGAGTGAGAAAGATGGGGAAAAAATTGAAAGCAACAAATCTTCCTTGTACCTTGCACTGGAATGTAATTAAGAAGAGTGTCTCAACGACGACGACGATGCTTGCAGTGTTGCCAATTTCGACTCTAAAACTCACCTCCTTTTGCAACGAGCACCAGCCCTCTCACTTGAAAACGAAGCAAGACACCTTCTTGGCTTTAGGAGTTGCGGAAGTCAAGAGTCAAGAATATTGTTACAAAATAAAGACAAAAAAAAAGAACCGTCTTACTCTCAAATATTAAAGTCGCTTGAAATAAAATTAGATTAAAATTTTCAAGTTCCTCTACACATATATTTAGAAAAAGAGAGAGAGAGAGAAACTTTGTAAAGTTTAAAACACTCTCTTTCTCTCGTTGAAGAAAATGAAAAGGTTATGATGTAATTTTTCCCTCTTTTTCAACAGCGCCTGAAGAAAAAAACAGTATAAAGTTTAAAACAAAACTTGAAACGTGTTGAACATGTTGATTGACTTGAACAAACCTGGTTACCCTTACAACAAAAAAAAAAGTTAAAATTTTCACAAAAAACTTTTATTTTATATATTTATAAAGCTGCATTAGACAGTTTTAATAATAAAAATTGGATAAAAATTATAAAAGAAACTTTTTTTTGTTTTGAGGGGGGGAGGGAAAATGTTATTTATTTCCGAGAAATATTCTGCTTTCTGATAAAATAACAATTGTCGATACAAGAAAGTTTCTCTTATCATTCTCAACTGTATATATATATATGGAATATGAGGTTCGACTTGGATATTATATATGGACAAGCGTTCTTTATTGGAACAAACTTTAGAAAAGATAACAATTCTTCGAAAAGTGGTTATTATGGATTCGTTTTTTTTTTTTTACATTGATATCTATTTTATAAATGAAAATTTTTTATCGCAAATAATAAATTATAATTTAGTTTTTTTTTCTATGCAAAAACTTTATAAACTAGATGATTTAAAAATACCAGCTAATTATTATTTTTCATAAAACAATATGATTTTGCTTTGCTAAACTGTTAAATGAATTCCTGTAACGTTTTTCAATCGATAATATTCCGTTAAGTACTTGAAAGGCGATTAAGAGAGTATTATTTTTAATGTGTTTGAACAGAATGAATTATATTTACTAATGGGGTGAAAAGTTTGAAAATTGAATATTCATTGTGATGCTCAGAAAAGTAGTGCGACATTAAATTAAAGCTGACCAAAGAAGTTGTTTTCTTTTCATAAATTTAGTAATATTGAGAAAATGAGAAATTTATAGCTAACAAGAACACACCAAAAAAAAAACAATATGGAAAATTTATTACTTATATCTATTTAACAAATATTAAAGTAAAGTTGTCTTTTGAGGTTTTCAAATAACTTTTTGGTTTTTTATTAAACCATTTTTTTATATTATTTTAATAATAATAATAATATAATAATAATAATAATAATAATATTATGACTATTATTATTACTCAGCTATATACCAAATTTTGAAATAAAATTGTCTTTTGAGGTTTTCAATAAAACTTTTTTTCAACCATTTTTTTATATTATAATATATATTATTAATTTTATATTATATTATAATAATAATAATATAATTATTATTATTATTCAGCTATATACCAAATATTGAAATAAAATTGTCTTTTGAGGTTTTCAAAAATTATTTTATCCATTTTATATTAATTTACGCAGAAATTTAAAAAAATTTATTTGTTTTCTTCTTCTTAATTTTCAGCATCGATGCAAGGGAAAAAGGTGTTGTCCGTGCGGAAAAATGGTCAGACGATACAGTTTTCTCTGGCAGAGCATATTTTATGCCAGAAAGAACACCCGCGGAATTAGGAGTGGATCACATTAGATTTGAGGATGCCGGTATCTACAGGTGTCGTGTTGACTTTCAAATTGGTCAGACACGCAACTCCAAAGTCAATTTAACGGTTATAGGTAAGTGTGAACTTGATGACATCTATATATATAGAGAAAGAAAGAACAAAACTGAAATTCTTTTAAATCAAATTGAATTTTTTTTTTAATGAAAGACAATTATTAATTTATTTTTGAAGAAATTTTTCAAGTCCACGAAAATTGGTCAGAATATGCGGAAAACTTAATTTTTTTTTCTTTTTTGTTCTTTCTTAACGTTCGGTTAATCTTGAAAACGCAAAAAGTTGGGAGTTAAAAGATCTGTTCAACATTTTACTGTGCACTTAAGACTGACCCTAAACGATTCCCAAGTGACGACTTCCCTAGAAAAAAAACCTCAGGGAAATAAAATTCCGACTTTGTTTTAAAGCCCTCTATTTCAGTTCGAGCTTAACTTTTAAGCTTGCATTGAAATACGTACCTACTTAAGACACACTGGTCGCTTCTCAAAAGCCCTACAACAAAAGAGTCTTCAAATCTGGAGCAACTTTTTGCCACTGTTATTCACTTTTCTTTGTCGCATATTATATATATATATATTTCTATCTTCTATATGAGATTATTCCTTTTATACTAATTTACTGCTGACTTTTTTTTTTTTTTAATCTCTTCTCTAATTTAGTTTTGATATATTCTTTTTTTTCAATTTTTCACTATAAAAAAAACTTTCCCATTTTTTTTCCTCTTGAGTAATTTTTTTTTTTAACGGAAAAAAAATTGACGATAAATACCTACGATAATGAAATGTTTTATCTTCCTTTTCCCATAGTTCGACCCATTTTTCTGTGCATATATGGGAAAAAGGGCGGTGGAGAGGGGAAATTCACTACTCCCCAACAATTTTATGATCGTATCGTCAAAATACGAGTTTAAAATTATTTCTGTATTATTTATCGTCATTTTACGTTCAGGGTGGCTATAAAAATGGCTTAGAACGTAAAACCAAAGAGTGGAATTGATCCTACAAGTTTCTTTTTTTTTATCGTCATGTAACACATTAGAAAGATATCGAAATAATAACTTATATATGCACTTCCTTACGATAAAAAAACCAGTGTGTAATAGAAATGATGGGTTAGAAAATAATTTATATAGACAGTGAAAAAGATTTTTTTTTGACAAAAGTGAAAATTTTTCCTTTTTGAGGTTATCTTTAATTCAGCACATTAAAAAATTGATATTCAACAAATCATAATTAACTGTTTAGTAATATTTACAAATAATTAAATATGGAATTTTATTTTATAATTATTTTCATTTTTCTTATTTAGATCGAAATGATATGTTTCGATTATAAATATTTTTTTTACTGCGATTTACAAGCTTTTTTTATCACTGTTTGGACATAGACTATATAAAAAGAAATAAGATCGACAAAATCATGTGTTGACAGCGCTCCGCCATTCAGGGGCGTAACAAAACTTTACACTTCTAAAAAAAAAAATTTCTTCAAAAATTTTGAAAAAAGAAACAAAAATTTTATTTTACTCTTAAACAAAATATTTACAAATAAAAAGTATGTATGATAATGGACAATTTCGTTTACAATTGCGTATATATAGGAAAATGTCAGAATTTTTCTCAATTTAAGCTACGCGCACAGTGGTAACGTAACTAAAATGTTCGTTGGTTTATATATATATATTTCTATAAAAAAAAGGAGGAGGGAAAAGTGTTTTAACCAGAAGTTTCACCAAAATCCACACACAGTCAACCTCAAACCATCACCCCCCCCACCCTTCCTCCCCTCTTTTTTCTCATTGACGATGGTGGTGGGGGGGGGGCAGTGTGGTATAAAAGCAGAAACCTCATTTCTAGTGACTCGAGTGTGCATTATGAAAAATTCATGCGGAAACCGACGAGTAGCAGGTCGACGAGTATAAAAATAATAATAATAGTAATAAAAAAAAGGTTCATAGTCGACAATCCAAAACAAGACGAATAAGAAAATAGAGCATTTTAAAAATCTTTCGTATATAAAGATTTTTCTCATCTCTCTCTTCTTTTCCACGCTACCACACCCCAAATGTATATATAAAGAAGATAATAATTTTTTCATCATTTTTCTATTCTTTTGCAATTCATAAATATAGTCAAATTGTAAAATGAAATTTTCATTTACATAGAGGGAATAATTTTTTTTTAATAACTGTATAAATCGTAGTATGTGTAATTTTTAAATTTGCAGCTTCAACATGCGGAAAAAAGTAAAATAAAAAAAAAAACTAGATTCTCGGTTATATAATGACTAAATCTAAAATCATATTAATTCCACTCTCGTTTAACGAGCAACGATTTCATTTTGCCTGAACATTAGCGTGTATCGTTTAATTATTCTATTTTGTACGTATCACTCAAGAGTAAAAAAAAATGTGAAATACGCGAAAAGATAGAGGTATATATATTTGTCCTTCTTGCACTCGTGGTCTAGTTACATTCGACGCTTTAAGGCCAACGCACAATGGATTTGGAAAATTCGTATTAGGAACGATATACAAAAAAGTTTGTTTAATATTCATGATGAATAATAATGTGCTTAACTGCTTAATAATAATCTAAATTCGGTGTAGTAAGTTGTAGTAACAAAATTTTTTTTTATAATTCTCGTCAACTACCGCACCCTGCTCTAGTGAAAATTTAGTAACTTTTAAGTCACTAAATTTCCACTAGAGCAAGGTGCGGTAGTTGACTGAGCATTTTAACAAATTACAAAAGGGAAACTTGTCCAGTGTGAACATTGGCATCATCTTTAAGGTGAAATCACATGAAAATATAAAGGCCAATGCACAATAGTTTCGCGAAACTCGTTTGCGAACGTAAAGCATGAGTTAGAAAAAGACAAATAGATTTGTATCCTTTTCTATCTTTTTCTAACTCATGCTTCACGTTCGCAAGTGATTTTCGCGAATCTGTTGTGCGTTGGCCTTTATGTTTTCATGTGATTTCACCTTAAAGATGATGCCAATGTTCACATTGGACAAGTTTTCCTTTTGTCATTTGTTATAATTCACGGTCAACTACCGCACCCTGCTCTAGTGACTTTATAGTAACTTTTAATTTTAACTAGAACGTCACTAAATTTTCACTAGAGCAGGGTGCGGTAGTTGACCGAAAATTATGACAAATGTGAGAATTCCCTGTCAACTACCGTACCCTGTTCTAGTGACTTTATAGTAACTTTTAATTCTAACAATAAATTCTCACTAGAGCAGGGTACGGTAGTTGACCGAGAATTCTGACAAATAACGAATAGAAATTTAGATTAGTGGCAACATTAATATCCCTAGAAAAACAAAAAAGTTACCAAAATATTTTTTTTCAATTAAGTAAAATTAACTAAATAAATTTTCAAAATTATTGAGAATTTTTATAAGATTTTGAGATAGAAGGATATGGAGAGCAAATGTCTAGATTATTTCAAAAAAAATATATATATAAATATATAGGTTAGGATAATTTTGAAAATGGAGATGCTGTATACTATATATATATATATATATATATATTGTAAGATAGTGTGCGACACGGAGAGTTTGCTCAGATCTCAAGGGAATTCTGAGGTAGTATTTTCGTCTCTACTTGTATACAAGGACATCTTCTGGGACATTTACATTTATTTACATTTTACACCAACCGTCCACGAAACACTCGACGTGACGTCCTTAGGAAGCGACGCTGATGTGGGATTACCGAATGACAAGACAAATGTACAAATGAGAAACATACTATGCGGAAAACCTTCCCTTATATTTTACAAGAGTTCACTATGTCACACTGTTTTTTTTCTCTCTCTTTTTTTATCCCCTCAATATTATTCAAGTTCTAAGGAAAAAAAATATATATATTCAGACATAAAAAACAAAAGTATCATCAAAATTTTGAGGTTATGTTCGCCACTTGGCCTACGCAACTAACAATTGATTTTGAGGTTAGGTTTCTCCCTTGAATTTTAAGGTTATGTTCGTCACTTGACCTATGCGACTAATTGATTTTGAGGTTATGTTTCTCCCTTGAATTTTAAGGTTATGTTCGTCACTTGATCTATGCGACTAATTAATTTTGAGGTTATGTTTCACGAATAATTGAAAAAAAAAACAAAATACATAATAAATACAATATTAAAGTATAGAAATATAAATATTTTCAAATTTTGGCAAGAATATAAAACTAAATTTTCTCTCAAAAATCATATATAAATATACTCTACTTTTTAACAAGAAATTCTTTATGTGAATTTGATAAATGTCCATATATTCACTGACACATTTATAAGAATACTGGATATTTTATGTCCTGCGAAGTTGAACTTTAAAGCTCTTACGCTTGAATAGAGTACACTCGATAGTCCATAGATGGAAAAGAGAGATGTGCGCGCGTGGTATAACAAAAAAAAAAAAAAAAAAAAAGAAAAGAAAGAATGAAGAAAAAAAAAGCTTGAAAAACCTTTCCCGTCATTTTGGATACTTTGCATTAGGGAATTCTGAAACGTAAAGGAGAAATATGGTACTCAGCTTAAAGTATTATGTTTTCTGAAAGTGCATCGAAAATTTCCATATGAATAATAATATCTAGCAAAAAGGGATAAAGGAAAGAATGTTTTACTTGACATCTTGACTTCATGCTTTTAGATATTAGGGATCTATATATTTATATGCATTAAAAGAGAACCCTTTGTATTCTAATAATATATGCAATGAGAATTTTTTTTTCTTCTTTTTATTAATATCTAAAATATTTATAGATACAGAAAAAATATTTCTTTAATTCCAAAAAAATAAATTTCTTTCACAAATTTTTTCTTTGATACAAAGAAACATTTAATTGTTTCAAATAAATTTGTTTTTGATTCAAAAAGAAAAAAATTTATTTTGAATGAAAGAAAACAAAGAAATTAGTTTCTTTAAATCAAATAAATTTTTTCTTTGTGTGTATAGTATTTTTTTTTTACATCCATCATAAGATAAATAAAAGATACTTATTACTCCAAAAAAACTGAAATTTTATTCTATTTTTACATTTTT